CATAGGTCTTGCTGTCAAATGAAAAGTCTTGTCAAAAGGACTAAACATGTAAAAAAAAAAAAAAAGAAGAAAGAAAGCACTAGACCTAACATTTAAAATTAATGATCAAGTTTTGGTTTTTAAAAGTAGGTCAAACTCCAAGCTCAAGGTTAAAAGGCCAAAGTACTTGGTATCCATTGAAGGGTCTTCTCACAAGGATTACATAAGTGAAGTAAGAGATCACTAGCATTAAGCGTTCAAATGTTATATTAAAGGTAGGGATGTCAACGAATACTCGAATATCAGTCGAATGGACCGACGATCGAAAATTAAAGGAAATTCGAATAAATGCAAAAAAAGGCGATAAAGAATTTTTAACTCAAAATTGAAAAATCGTCATTCCTTAAACCATTATAGCATCTGTCCTCAGACGAATAAGAGCTTTCACACCGTCACAGCATATAATAAATTGTCACGTTGTACATATGGAAAGTACAGCAATTACCGTATATATACTCGCCTATAAGTCGGTTTTTAGGGAGTTAATCCTGTGTCTCTTTGTCCGACTTATAGGCGAGCTATAAAATGTATACTTTTATATGAGGTTAGTCCATCTGATATGCAAGATTATTAAATAAAACCGACTTATAGGCGGATCGACTTATAGGCGAGTATATACGGTACATACCGCGATAATTATTTCTAAATTACTGATCTTTTTAATTGTTATTGTAGTAATTATGCAACGCTATATGCTGGACTTTGAAGGTGTCTTCTAGCTATTCCCACTTTTTATTATAAAAACAAAAATCTCCTCCCCTTTTCCTATTTATTGTAAAGAAGCTTTTTCTTTCAAAATTATGGTCAAGGTTTACTTTTTTAAGTAGGTCAAACTCCAACGTCAAGGCCAAAAAATCAAAGTTCTTGGTATCCAATGAAGGGCCTTTTCACTATATTTAGGATTATATATGAGTAGTATGAAACCAGTGACCCTTACTGTTCAAAAGGTATGGCCAAGGTTAAAACTTTTTCATTAGTACGGAAATCTCCAAGGACAAGGTCAAAAGATCAAAATTGTTGTTATCAAATGAAATGTTTTTAGCAAAAAATATATATGTAAATTATTAATGTCCTGGTATCCACTTTTCAAAAGATAAGGCCAAAGTAAAAGTTTTGAATTTTTGTCAAAAAGTGGGTCAAACTCCAAGGTCAAGGTAAAAAAGTCAAATATCGTGGTACGCAAGGAAAGATCTTGTTGCAAGAAATACATTTGTGAAATATGAAAGTCATAGCTCCACAAAATCAAAACTTATAGGCAAGGTTAAAGTTTTTTTTCGGACAAACAGACAAACATATAGACAGAGAGACAGCTAGACAAACAAACAGACAGACAGACAGGTAGACAGACGGAAGGACACAACAAAAACTGAACACCCCCAATACTTCGTTAAAGGGGGTCGCCCGCGTGGCGCAGTGGTTAGAGCGTCTGCTCTAGCGTCGCGAAGTAAGGAGTCAATCCTTACGTCACGGGTTCGAATCCCACTGTGGGACGTGGAGACCGGTCCTTTAGATGAGACCGTGTAAACCGAGGTCCCGTGTCGCAGTAGGTGCTGGCACGAAAAAGATCCCTCCCTGCTCAATGGCCCTGAGTGCCGAGTATAGGACAAAAATTGCAGTTCTCCACCGGCAAGTAGTGGCGTCTCCATATGAGTGCAAAATTCTCGACAAGGAAGTTAAACAACAAACAAACAAAGAAACTTTTGGACTATTAGACGTAGATTACTGTGAACTATTGCTATCATCTTATGGGAAGATGTAGTCAATCAAGTCCAAATGATTTCCTTCACCGTCATTACTTCAAAATTTGTGAAGTAGAATCATCAACGTGCGTCAGTTACTTACAATTCTAAAAAAATGTATGAAGATCTGTATCTTGATTGGTGAACAATTTGTCTAGCGCCAAAAAGCTGCATTAGAAAAAATAACATATTTGTGATTTAAGGAATGAATTTAATAGCTACCCATTTTATACGGTATAAACTGGGTTGGGACAGTTTACGCTTTTTAAACCGCTTCGCAGTTTATGAAGCGTAAACTGTCCCAACCCAGTTTATACCGTACAAAATGGGTAGCTATTAAATTAATTGCATATAATTTAATTTTCATTCATTTGATGTAAGAAAAAAAAAGATGATTGTTCTAACAAAATGACTTCAGTTTGTACAAATTTTAAATGTAACGTCAGGTGGATTAATACGTTTTGACGCAGGTCATTGAGACGTAGGCAACCAATTTTATACGATATAAAGTAAATTTTTTATCCAATCAAATACAGTGTTACAACCGGAATTAAATTATATTATAACCAAAACGAAATAATTCTCTCTTCAACGTTGATGTCTGAATATGTATTTCTCTGATAGATGTTGAGAAGAGGTAAAATAATAAATATACTTCATCTAACATTCAAACAAATACAACAGCATAAAGTGAACTTTACTGGCTTTCTATCATATCAGATGGCATAGAGTGAACTTTACTGGCTTTCTATCATATCAGATGGTATAGAGTGAACTTTACTGGCTTTCTATCATATCAGATGGTATAGAGTGAACTTTACTGGCTTTCTATCATATCAGATGGTATATAGTGAAGTTTACTGGCTTTCTATCATATCAGATGGTATAGAGTGAACTTTACTGGCTTTCTATCATATCAGATGGTTTAGAGTGAACTTTACTGGCTTTCTATCATATCAGATGGCATAGAGTGAACTTTACTGGCTTTCTATCATATCAGATGGCATAGAGTGAACTTTACCGGCTTTCTATCATATCAGATGGTATAGAGTGAACTTTACTGGCTTTCTATCATATCAGATGGCATAGAGTGAACTTTACCGGCTTTCTATCATATCAGATGGCATAGAGTGAACTTTACCGGCTTTCTATCATATCAGATGGCATAGAGTGAACTTTACTGGCTTTCTATCATATCAGATGGCATAGAGTGAACTTTACTGGCTTTCTATCATATCAGATGGCATAGAGTGAACTTTACTGGCTTTCTATCATATCAGATGGTATAGAGTGAATTTTACTGGCTTTCTATCATATCAGATGAAAAGGATGAAGATAACTAACAGTGATCGATCTAAATAAAACTTTCAACAAAACAAATCTTTGAAGAGAACTTAAACACCGACCTCAGGAAATTCTGGAGGTAATATCAGGCCCCGGGATCATGAAGCATCTTAAGCTTAAGTCAAAAAATGCCTTAGATGCTGAAATGTTTTAGAGGTCAAGCAGCCCAAAATGAAAATGCTTTCCGATTTTGTATCATCAGCCTGCTGTTGCATGCAAATAAGGAGTTTCCTTTAACAAGTTTTTATAGATACCGTATATACTCGCCTATAAGTCGATCCGCCTATAAGTCGGTTTTATTTAATAATCTTGCATATCAGATGGACTAACCTCATATAAAAGTATACATTTTATAGCTCGCCTATAAGTCGGACAAAGAGTTTTAGACCAGAGATTAATTCCCCAAAAAACCGACTTATAGGCGAGTATATACGGTAATTGAAATTTTGACTTAAGTCTAAGTCTGTTTCATGATCCCGGGGCCAGGTCCCACAAGGAAAAAGCATCGCCTATCGATCGATCATACCAACCATAACCTTGACCCGGTCGACGGAAGATAAAAAGTCAAATTCAGAATAAAAAACGAAACCCTAACAATTTGTGTGATACATGTACGTCAACTAAAATACGACATAATGGTAGGTTATATTTGCTGACAAGATCATTAATATGACTATAAAATTTACCAAATGCCAACTTTAAACGCAGTTGTTGAAATACCTGTAATATCAACTTTTCAGTTAATAGACTGCCTCCTCCGTTAAAAAAATGAACATACTCCGAACATGCTCTTGAGTATCTAATAAGTTAGATGTCCACACCATATGCACGTGATAAGGAAATTTTAGGATGGAAAAGTATACAGTGTAGTTGTTAGTTGGTCCTTTTCATCTATAGTCAGTTAAATATAAAACAGGAGTCACCGACTCTGCGGTGTTTTCTAATTTTAAGTCCACTAGGATATATCGTAGCGACAAATGAATTAAAGTTCTATGTACCTATTGTAAACTGATAAAACATCGTCGATATTCCTAATTCTCGAGTTGAAGGCTACAGCAAGTGCTTTCTTCTCATTAAGAACTTTTTGAATTAATTCAGGTTCATAGGAAAATCAGAACAAGTCAGCTAATAAAGGAGCACAATAAGTGTCCACAGGATATCACAGTTTCTCGGTCTCCGAAGACTACATAAATTTTGTCAGTGACGAACTCCAGCATCCTTATGATATCAACTTAATTGTGTGAGGAATCAGAGTGATCTTTTACAAAGTAGTTTTACTGATGACCAAAAAATTGGAAAAATTCCTACTTCACATATTTTTGAAGAAGCAGTTGTCTATTATATCTTTGTTTTGGAGGATTGGTTGTATAAAGTGTGAAAAAGTTTTAGGTGTTGATGTTACTGACTTTTGAAACATTTGGCAAACATAAACTAGTCTAAAAGTTCTTTGGGATTTTTGAGAATCCACATATGAGTAAAACCAAAAATATTCTCTAGCACAGATCGTCTGAAACCTCTCTAGAAAAGCAAAATGAAACATGTAAAACACCAATAATACTTGAGTTATACCTCTCTCTCTCTCTCTCTCTCTCTCTCTCTCTCTCTCTCTTCATGTTATTACAATTTGCAAAAGGACTAGTTAAGCAATACATAGTTACTAGTATAGTTACATGAATGGGCTCATAATAAATGTTATTATTTTGTTAGATCAAAATATCATTGCTTATAATAAATTGCTTAATTTGAAAATAAATTAGTTTTGTTTGCATCTCATAAAAATTACTTCTTTTATTATACAAATATTTGTCAAGGTTTAATATTATTGGATAAGAAGAACACATAGATTGTGATGCCTAGTATGTTGGTTGTCTATCCATAAGGGAAGCAGAAAAATGCAGTTTTAAAAAAGAACGTTTAATCTTCAATCTATCTGTAGGGGTCTCGTAGGGATTATCAAAATTACTTTCGACCTTGTGATGCTTATCGCATATACTAGTGCGACAATGATACTGTATTGAAGAGGTTGTATGTAAATTGTGGCTTGGCAAGATATAAATGAGATGTTGTATGTTAAATAATTTTGTAAAATAATACAATTTCTAAACACTTTATTTTGATTCAAAATGTAACTGATTATCATGAGGTGATTTACTAATAAATACATACTACAATTTTAAATTTACATTTAGCTGAAAGTGCTGACCATCAATCATTAAAATGAAATATGGAGATATATTAAAAAAAACAACAACATTGAAACAATACAAATTTGGAGCAGAGCAGACACGGGCCTCTTTAAAACACCAGAGGTGGTGTCAGGTGCTATTGAGAAGAAAAACCTGGAATTTTACATTCGTTAAAAGAATCTCTCTCTTTCTGTATATTCTGAAATTTCTTTTAGCCCAGGCATTGCCTTGAGAGCTCGCAATGCTTTCAATACAAACAACGAAGTTGGTCGTTTAAATACTAAAAGTATAACACAATGCACTATACATTCAGAACAAATCTGACAATAAAACTTAGAGATGCATTACTTTTTCATTGAATTCATAGTATTATTTTTCCATTACAACTTTATTGACCAGAACAAAGTTCACATTAACCTGATGCCTGCAAAAGATAACCAGAAAATGTCGAAAATCTCTCATGTATGTAATTGCCAAATTTGTCAGCTTTCTTCACCCAGACATGCGTTCCAGAGGTCAGATTCGCTAACACCAAGTTTCCCCCATTTCCATAATTTACAGCATGACTGACGAATCCACATCCTAAAGCTCCTTGTGAGGAATCCAATGCCGTGTCCATTCCTGAGGCTTCATTAGACAATATATTCCAGTAGAAGACATATGTTCCAGTTACTGGCGCAGTGAAAATTCCAGATTGTGGATCGTAGGAATTAGTTGTGTCCACAACTTCAAGGTCAAAGATAACAGTTTGGGAGAGGCCAATCTTTCTTACGGGGCGCGAAAGTCGAGCGTGAAACGAAGGAAGCATCTCAGGTCCTGTTGATTTAAAGAGTGCTACACGGTTACATATAATTTATATTAAATTGATAATTCAAAGAAGAATCGATTATAATTTTCTGTAAAAGATAGGAATGCTAAAAACGTTTCTTAAATAGCACTGACTTATCTTATTTTGATTATAAAGCATAAAATGTGAATATAAATAGATAAATCAAACAACTTTGTTAGTTTTACTAAGATTTGTCAAATCTTCAATATACATGAAGCACAGTTTTACCTTTTAAACTATATGAAATCCAATCCAAATTAAGGAACTTTTGAGGTTAACTTTTTTAAGTATAATTGACTGACCTCTCCTTTTTTTCAGTATTTACTTACGTGTTCTCTCTATCTTTGTTGTCACATTCCTGAAATCTTCCTGTAATTCCTTAATCATTTGTAGTTTTGTGTCATCCTCCTTCTCCTTTTCTATTATGTTTTCGTCTAATTTCCTCTGCAATCGTTGATTTTCAAGTTCAAGATCAGTGACGTTGTTTTCCAGTTCTTGTATTTTGTCTAGTATCTCGGACATATCATTTTTCACTGTAATTATGAAGACTTTTCATGAAATATGTGACAAACCATGCAATTGTTTTTTTTCCTTTGAATTCATTCTTGTACTGCCACCTTAGTTTATTAAATTTCCTAACTAACAAGCTGTTTAAAAGAATTCTTTTTCCCCTATTAATGGAATAGAATATGCGTGAATGTAGAAAGCAGCTTCTTTACATATCGCGCGGAAATAAAAGTTTTACACACAAATAGAAAATATTAATTTACTTCCTTGACCTATGACCTCAAAATAGATACAGGTATTTCTCAGGCAACATACATTCTTTACACACGTCTTTACATAAAACACAGGGTTCCTTTAGTGTAGTGTCCGGCGTCTAGTGGTTCAGTACGTTTACTGATTAAACTAATTGGTAGAATTCTAGTGGACTGCCAAAATATACAAATACAACTGACCTAGCCTTATCTAGGTTAACAATAATAAAATGGTAAGTAGCTATCATAAGAGGCATGTTTCTACTTATTTCTAGCTCTACCCTGACGCAGGAGCCCATGCAGTCGCCTTCATATTACCGCATATACTGTAGGTATGCCCTTATTCAGTACCGACAATGAGTGCAGTATACACTTGTATACTGTAGATTCCTTATTTTTCGCGAATAATTATTATCGCGAATGGGCTCTTCAACGTCAAATTGCAAGAAGAAAAATTCTCGAATGTACGTTTGATTAAGAGATTTTACATAGATTCCAGCACCATAAAAATAAAGGCGAGTAATTTTATTTTGCGTGTGGTGCTTCTCGCGAAATTACGCGATAATTAATTCCACGCGTATATCTAGGAATCTACAGTATTGCACACTCGACAAACTGGTCAGCTAATGTGTGGAAACAAAAGTGTTGAGACAGACAGAATTTTTGAGTTTGTGACTACTTGACCTATGACTTCTTGACCTTTGATATTTTGACCTCAAAGCAATAGGAGTGCTCTTTAGGCAATTACTGTTATGTTCCCCAAACAAAAATTACAAACATATTTTGCGTGCACATGCGTGCAAGTGCGTGCAATGAGTGAAATGACTGATATACTTACTATAGCCATAACATTTAAATTTTTCATGCAATGTCTTGAAATTTAAAACACGAAGATATATCAGTACTATAGAGAAAAAGACATGGTCAAATGAGCATCAACTCATGAGCATACATGTGTCCTTCCCTCTGATTGGCTGAAACAAAAGTTTCAATATCTTTCTTACTTTTTTGACAAAATACTTTGAAATTTCAAACTTAGTCAAACATTATTGAGTTCTACATAATAGTATATTAGAATAATCATGGAAGCGCACACGTGCATGTGATCTGCAATCTGATTGGCTTAAACTTGAAATGCCTATATATCTTAATTACTTGCTTCTTAATAAAACAGGATGAGATTTAAAATATGAATAAGTATTATGACTTTCTACATAATACTACTATAAAAATTGAATGCAAGGACATGCCTGCATGTGCAATATGTTCAAGGACATATAATTGATATCATTGTTTTGAGAGTTTGAGGGACATCTGTAATAGTTTCTGTTACAATTAATACTAGTTAAAATTTCATTCCCAAAACCCAAATTCTCCGCGAGATATCATGCAGAAACAAAAGTGTTAGATACAGATAGAAATACGAACAGACGGGCAGACAAATTGAAATTATTATGTCTCATTTTCAGTGGTCACATTTTCATTTGACTTAAGTTTATTTAGTATATAGTTAAATCCCACAGAATTCTGTATTATTTATCAAAAAAGGTTATATAACCGTCAATTTATCTTTACATGCAGGTTTAGAGAAAAACAAATCAGCATGTAGAAAAAATAACAGACCCTCGGTAATTTCCTCGGTCCTGAATTCAGCAGTATAATTACGAAAGATTTCTTCTACAGCTGACTGGAGGTCTTTATGATGCTGTGTGTTTTCTTGTAATGTTTCACGGTCAGTGTTGTTAATCTTTATCTGTCTGTCCAATTCCATGCGCATTCTTTGTTTTTCAAGCTGAATATCAGCATTACCTTTTTCTACTTCTTCCATCTTTACCAGAACGCTGGCCATCTCTTTTTTCACTGTTAATAATTCATTGACAAACGCAGACATCTGATGGACGAGGGACAATCGTATTAAAGTTTCCTGACTCAGTTGCTGCTTTAGATGGTGTATGTCTTCCCGTACTGATTCGTTTGCACACACAACAGTTATTGGCTTCTCCTCGGATTTCAGAACCGCCAAAGGTAAATTTGATGTCGACATGGATATAACCATCCAACAAAGAAGAAGATGTAAAAATAGCATTGTTTTGATTTGTAGATATAAGGATTTGATGCTCCCTAGATATCTTTTGCTTTAAGCCCGATGATTTACAATGAATATATGTATGAACTATATGTAAGGAATCACTCCGCTTGTTGTAAATTCAAAATATAGTCCTCAAAAAATAAAAAAAGATATACAATTTATTCTGTCCTGCAATAACAATTTTACACTTATCTTTCTTATTTATTGATTTGATATCTCTAATTGAGATATTCTTTGCCCTCTATAAGCTAAATAATATTTGTCAAGGGAACTATTTTATGGACACATGATACCACTTTCTGTAGTGTACTTGGGCTAGGTACAATTATTTCTTCATGAATGACCCAATTTTGTTTTTGCTATAAATATAATTTATATAATGAAGATAATTAACTATGATATAATATAATAATGATAATTAACTAAAACCTAGAAGGAAGTTGTATAGAAAAAGCGGGTTAACATTATTCACTCAGATTTCTATGTAAATGCTAAATCCATGCCAATAAGTATCGTTTAAACTTTTAAATCTAATAGACAATTAGAAAAACGTTATTACCGACTTCATCTTAAAAAAATGCTTCATTTAGTGCTAAAACAAACCAATGCACTATTCAGCTGATTGAGATTTAGTACACGTATAATGTATATCTGTATTCCTTGAGATAAAAGTACACAGGTGCTCTTTGGCTTTAACCACTTCAGTGCCACAGGGCCGATTGTATTGATTAGAATTATTGTACCGCCTTAGTATCTTTAATGACACTATACTTGATATTTTATTCGCAGAAAACTGGTAACTTAAAAAATGGATAAAATGACGTTCATGACACTTAAATGACTATTATATTTATTGGTTTTCCCACATAAGATTCTACGTACGTTTGAAAATGAACACACTAATTTGTATACTAAATTTGTTCATTGTATACACAATTTCACGTTCAAAACTATTTTTACACTGTTTAAAATCAGCATAGGCCTATACTTGAATATTTTGGCGCAAAAATACAGGTGCAAAATAAACCTTTAACCGGTTATCCAGGCCCGAAGAATATGCCACCTCGAAATGCAAGTCCCTTGCAATATTGTTACTATTCTTCAACTTGAATCTCATAAGAGAAATTGTACGACAAATTAGCAGGTTATTGTATTTTTTTATAATGATGTAGGCCTTTTTATAAATTTTAATTTCATTTGTTACAGTGCTTTTTTGAATATTTTCTCTGGTTATTTATCCTTGTTAGGATTGAAAATAAACTGTTGGTGTATTTTTCTATTTGCCTAACATTATATGTTTAATAAACGTTCAAAGTTTTGCACACTTAGTGAGACACAACTTTCATGATTTTTATAAAGCACATTAACCATCTGCACTTGCATTGTTTATTTACAATAAATAAAAATGTTCCTATTTATAAAAAAATAACTGTCTTGAATTTTTATAACGATTGTCAACATTAAACGTGAATATATATACTCCTCATACATTGGGGATTGAATTGTAATTCTTTAATTAGGGAAATAAAGCTGCTTTTCAATAAAAATGGAACTCGTGAATTTACTTACCTGGTCATTGGTCATTTTACATGTACACAACCATTCCAAACGATAAACTAAAGTCCAGGCTTTTTAAAATCATTGACAGCTGCTTTTTCAATAAAATGGAACTCATAAATTTACACTTCCTGGTCATTGGTCATTTAATTGCAATATTATTTTCTAAAACTCATTATGATTGCACTCACGAGTACTCTTAAGTTGACGTTCAAAGTATAAAAGATACCACATAGTCTGACACATCTGTTTCGTACTTGGATATTTTATTTGAAACAGACGTTAATGGTAATCTAACAACCAAACTGTATGATAAACGTGATGACCTTAACTTTTCTATCTTCAACTTCCCTTACTTATGCAGCACTATACCTTCATCACCTGCTACAAAGTTCATATCAAGTTGATGCAACAGGAATATCAGTATTTGCGTGTAAACTTACCATTTCTTAAGAGCTATGGTCGATACAATGACCTTGTCAGCAAATACAATTTATCATTGAGTCAAATGCTGACTGACTTCATTCATACTCATTGTTTGTCTATTATTTATACACTGAATTGATGACGGATTTTTCTGTATTTTTCCCGATAATGAAAAGGAGCACACTGTAGGTGTGACCGGTCAGCAGGGATGCTCACCTATCCATGGCACCTGATCCAACCTCTGATGTTTTGGAGGTCTGTGTTTGTTCTGCTCCAATTGTATTGTTTTCTGAACTTTGACACTGAATTGTACTCGTTAACTCCAGATCCTTCATACAACTGAATCAAATTTAATGATGCTTTCACAGATTCTTTATTACATAATGCCACTGTGCAACTCCTGGTCTGGTCTGACATTTTATTACTCGTCCTCCAGAGCAAAATATAGACTTTGCCTTTAAAATCATATAGGAGCGGGGGGATCAATTAGTAAGCTCCGTGTTCACAGTACTCTAGTTTTATCTATTCTGTTTTGATAAACATTCAAAGACATTGAAAATATGACATGGCATATCTGTAAATAAACTTTAATTGACATAAATAAAGTTTTTTCTATCATTCAAATAAATCAATGTTAATTAAGAACATCTGTTTACGGATTGTCAAAAATTAATGTTGATAAACAAAATGCAAAATCATATTTGTGTGATCATTTTTGCAGTTTATCGATGTTTTGACCATATTGAACAGTCTAACGAGGAACTGTAGTTAAACATGGCATATTTATTCTTTCTTCAAAATGCCCAGAAAATCAATCTTACACATATTGATTCCTTCTTATTACATGTATATTCACTAAAATTTTAAAACATCCTTACTGTCCTATGAATAATATAAACGTTAAAATAAACATTGTGGAAATTACAATGTTTGAAAGTGTGCATATAGTGATTTTATGTTTAAATACATAAATAATCAGAATGTTGAATATCATAATCCTTATTTACATGCCCTGGTTTTTCAAGTTAAATCATTTTTCAATATGCACAGATTGGCTAACTATAACTGTATTCAAATATTCAGTATTCACGTAAACGAACTCTATTCAACGTATTTATTTTTATTATTCGTCCATATATTTCAAACACCTAAACTTACACACACACGCCCTCTCTTACTGCGAGAGAGAGAGAGAGAGAGAGAGAGAGAGACTACGTATAAAAAGAACTGTCTTTTTTTCACCACAATTTCTCTACTCATGTACAGATTTGAGCTTATGCTGTCATCTATTTACCAGTCATATTAACATCTGGGTTTCTGCTACTTATAGCTCTCTTGATTGTTTCTTTTAAAAGGAACTCATAAAAAAAATTAGCCCAATCTCTCGTAACACAGAGAAGTGTTTTAAATCAGTCTATATTGTTCTGGAGAAACTTTAGGAAAGAAAGTCCAAATAAAACAGAAGTGACAAAGATACGAATAAGCTATTAATTAATTCTGAAGGTGTACTTTGTGTCCTACTTTAAAAAAAATCGCAGTCTTGAAAAGATGACTTTGTTAAACAGCAGCTGTTGAAGTACATCTGTAGATGATTGAAGTAATTGATATATACCGAATACTGTTCTATATGCAAAATTATCAGACTGTTTGAGGCCCGTTAGGGCCAAAAACTGTTTGAGAATATTACATATAGAACAGTATGAGGCATATATCTTACTTAAAACATTGCCATTGAAATGTCCAAAAGTTACCTGGAGGAGTCCGATAATAACAAAATAAGAGTTTAAGCATGCATTGTTTTCTACCCGTCTGATTAGTAGATAAAAGAAATAAGACAGTAAAAAAGTTATTTAACTTTTGTTTCATTTCATTCATTCAATGGCAGACGTTTAGTCTAGCAGGATAGGGGTCCGCTGGTAAAAGATTTTTTTGGGGAAACATTTTTATTTATGGTGTGCATAAATTGACATTGATGTTGAAATAATTTTTTGTGTATTATAACCATCACCATGGAAAGTAGAAATTTACCCTGAAATTTTAGTTTAGATAATAGAAATATTTTTAGACTTTAAAAGTGTGGCCACCAGGGAACAAACATAAAATAAGGAGATTTACAGACAATTTATCAGAAATGGATTTAAATTAGCTTATTCAAAGTGTTGTATCAAAAACTCTTTTGAAGAGTGGAAATTATAAATGTTGTGGGAGGTTTAAACTCGGATTTTTTTCATGAAATTTTGTTATTTTGTAGCAACTTAATTTCCTTGTGTTTGCTTTCCCTGATTTTTTCTTAACTTTTTATTGTGGGTTTCTGGACATATTTAACCTTAATTTCACTCTTCTTTTTGTTTTTTAAATGCCGTCCGATTTTGTTATTAATGCCGTCCGATAACGTATTATCAGACTGGTAATTATTATTAACGGACGGCTACAGGTAAATTTTAATACTGCAAGAACAAAGGCATGACGTCACAGCAATGTTTTAATTTATGTTAATTAATTATTGTAAAATAGCTCAACAAGGTGAAGATCATCGCCATCAAACAAATGAAGATTTTGAACAAGCTGTACAAAAATCTATTTTGAATGTTCAAAAAGTACTATTGCTGTATATAAATATTCGAAGTATCTTTATTATATAGATCATGCTTTTATTAAAACAAAAGAAGGCCTTAGGAATGAAGAGGGATGTGTGGTTGTGTCCATTTTTAGACTATATTTGTCTCCTTTAGAAGATCTCCATATAAATATATATAAAAATAAAAACATTTTCAAATCATTTTGTATGTTTTTTTTCTTTGTCAAATAATAGTTATCAGCTTAAATATCATATCTAAAAAAATCGATCTGATGGTTAAATTGTTGACCCCAAGCCTCCTAATATCCACTACTGGAGTGTGTTACACTATTTTAAGTGGTCGACTAAAAGTGCAAATTCGAGTGTTGTAGGCAAATCTTAAAAGCTGCAGTACTTGTAACAGATTATATCAGAATCTTATTCTCAATTATCACTTCCTTAGTGGATCTGAAAGTTATATTGAAACAGCTTCTATCAAATTCTTGTGGTAGACAGCAATGTTAAGTAACGTTCTTTA